TATAATATTATTAAGATAATATATTATTATTTATTACCAAAGGAAGCTCGGAAGGAAGGCTCTGCAAGGTATTAACTAATGTTGCAGTTGGTTTATCCATTAGTGCTGCAGCTGACACACAAAAGTCATACAAATCATTTTGACCAAAATCATGGGATGGCAGCTATAAAGTATAAATTAACATAATATATATACATTGTTTTATTTGTTATATTATAATTAATAAATTTGGTGTTAAACTGCTATAAATGTATGTACTTTATTTAATGGCTAGTTTTTAGAAAAAAAAAATGAATAAATACATAATATATCTTTAAAAGGATTAAACCCCTAATGAATAATTCTTATTTATTATGTAGTTGAAAGAATTCAAGTGGTAAATTAATCAATCAATAAAAAACTGAAAACTGTAATCATATTATAATATACATATAAGCTTGAGAGTAAAACTGTGAATCTATAATAATAGACTACTACATATAGCCATCACATAGACATAATATATATATATATATATATATATATATTATCACTTAGTATTTGTACCAAATTATTATTAATTTGACGTTCATTAATACTGATATCCTCAAGTATTTGGAATTTGGGCAAAGTAGCTGATGTTTCTGCAATGTTAGTTATATCTGTAGAAGCATTCATTTCATCAATAGGTTGATGACTGGCTGACTCTCCACTTTTTTGATGAGTTGTTGGAGAATTACTTGATACGACTGGCTAAAATAAATAATGAACCATTTAAATGTATGAGTATTGTATTATTAGTAATCAAAATGTTAATGTTACGTACTAGTTTAACAGTATCCCATGTCTTATTATTAACTTTAACTAGTTTCTGACAAGTAGTTATAGTCTTGTTATGTATATCATGGTTTAATTTTTTAGTTTTAATAATACTCAGAGACTGATTAAGTGATGATAATATTTCATTTGATACTTTATTGATATCAGATATAGCTAAGACATAAATACATAGGAATTAAAAATAAATAGACACTAAACTTCAATACATAATTATGAATTACTCGGTTGTATTATAATGTAAACAACAACCATAATGTTATATTTTTATGTATAATTAATTAAATAAGAATATTAAGTAGATTATTTAAGACAATATCCTACATTTAGAAGCTTCTATAATTGCTCGTTGCTGTGAAACTTGAGTCCTTAATTTTCGGTTTTCATAGTTTAAAACTTTAATTTTGTTATTAAGTTCATCTTTAGATGACTTAGAGTAGTCTTCATCATCATCATCATCATCAATATCATCCTATCCAAATAACCCAAGATGTTCTATATAATAATAAATTTTATATACAGGCTATATAACTAATAATTATTCAATTTTTTGCTGTAGTAAATATAAACAATATTGTTATATTTTAATGTTATCAAAAAAATTATAAATAACATAATGCAAATTGAGATAATGAAAAGAAAATTCAATTATTTTTGCATCAAAATTCAAATTACCTACTTATATAATAAAAATGTTGTTGAAATAGGTACCTTATAACAGTTATAACCCTAGCAGTTATCAAACTAGATAATATATATAGTGTTGACAACTGATTCAAAATTTTAGTGTGAGAGTTTTTATTGTGTAAGTTTTTTAATATGCATTACTTATTACACCATAGATTATAAACTATAATAATAAATAAAAYAGTACCTAAGTAATATAACTAATAACATAAGTTTTACAATGTTTACCAGTAAATCTCCAATGTTACTCTCAATTGAACTACTTCTCTTCCTTTTTTTTGACATAGCAGATTTTGGTATTTGGGATTTACCCTTTCTTATCTGTTTCATAATATGGATAGACGACTTTGAAGAATTTGATATAACATCTTTCTTCTTAAACAATGTTTTACGGTTGATCTTTTTTATATTAACCTTAAAAATAGGTTCAACATATTACATTTAAATATCACAATATTACCTAATATTTCTACACATATTATATACAAAATTATACAAATTATCATTCATAAATAAATATTATAAAATTAAACATTTAAAAAGTCCTGCTACAATATTAATATATTTATTATTGTTATAGTTATCAATAATTTGTAATTATTTTTACTATGAAAATACCTACTGCTATGTGAAAATATCATGTACCTTATTGGTGTTGTGTTCATTGTCAGCTGCATGACGTACACGTCTTGTACTACGTGTCAACATTGTTTCATCAAAGTTAATTAAATCGTTGCTCTTGTCACACATTTCAACCCATGCTATATGTATACCTATAAAACTAAATTATGATTAAGTATGATATATATATATATATATACATATATATATGTATGTACAAAGTAGGTATATAGATTGTTAAAACTATTATTAAATGCATAATTTATGTATACCTATAGACTATTAAGTATTAATTGAATTTTATTGAATTTAGCTAGCAATGATTGAGTAACATTTAGATATTGATTATTATCATCAAACTTTAAGGTAAATATAAATACTTACTTCCGTAAGCAAGAAGCCGGGCYGGTACATTTATCCACTCTACTTTTTGTGCAAACCTCACCATTTTTGAACTGTATATCACGTCGCATTTCGGCCATTTCATTTCAATATCTGTATTCTGTTTAATTAATGCTTCGTAAAAGCTTAAATCTGTAATAGTAGATGAGTCTACAGTTATCCATCCTAAGTATCCAACTTGGACGGCATTTCCTTCATTTAGGAACTCGAATAAACCGCATTTTGAGTCGTCAAAAATGTCCACGCGTTTCGGATCATTGTGTAATATAGAATTATTAGAATTTGACATTTTTTAAGTTAATAACGGCACTCTAACTCGAAAAAAATTATGTTGTTATTATGCAAGAAATATAAACGAAAGAAAATAGAAATTAAAACAGTAACAAATAACAATTCACAATCGTCAAACGAAGAGTCGTGACTCGCGAAGTCGCGATGCGATGCGGAAATGCATATTATACAATAACGATCAATGGACAATGAATAATAAAAGTTTGAGGTTAACCGTTAACCATCGTTATTCGTTAAACGCATATTATTCTATTTTGTGGCGTATGGGACATGTGGTGAACGCGCTTATCGCCTATATCGTGTGTGTATATATATATTATATATAATATATATAATAATAGTAAAAGTAATAGCACAGACTATAATATTATAGTCAGTGGTAATAGTTAAATAGTGTAATACTAATACACTAATACCAATAATACCATTCATTAAATACACATATATTTAATCAATGGTAATAGTCAGTGCCGGCGCTAGGTATTGCGGGGCCCTGGACCTATATCCAATAGGTTCCCAAAGAGGGGCGAAATTCAAGCTTTTTTTAAATCAGAATTTTTTAAAAAATTCTGATTTTCTTCGAATTTTAAACAATAGAAATAATAATATTAGGTTATTCTTATCCTTTTTTTATTATAATATGTTAACACAAAATGATTTACAATTACAAATAATAAAATAATAACTAATTAGGTACATACAACAACAACATATAATTGAAGTAAGAACATATTAATTTTATACTAAAATATTTTTTTTCTCGATTTACTCTGAGCAAAAGTGTTGATGACTTCTTCATAATTTATCGATTTTGATATCTCTTGTTCAATTGAAAGCAATGCAAGGTCTGATAATTTGTCTTGTCCAATTGAATTTCTTAAATACGACTTAATTATTTTGAGTTTTGAAAAACTTCTTTCTGCACAAGCCGATGCTACAGGTATCGTCAACATTATTCGTATTGCGATTGTAATATTTGGAAATGACCCGCYAATTTTTTTTAACTCTGCCAAAGCTTGAAGAGGTGTAACTTCTTCGCAAACTAAAGTTCGAAAAATTATGATTTCCGCAAATAAATCCTGTCCATCTATATCTTTGGAAGATTCGTCCGAAAGAACTAAGTGTAGGTCTTTGCAGCACTTCATTAGTTCATCGTCTTGCATTTCTTTTAATTTACCAATGTTGTATAGAAAACCAAAATTATTTGAATATGATTCCAGTTGTTTAAAACGTTTATCCAACGATTTAATAGTCTGGTCTAATATGACGAAGAAATATGTTATTTTAAAATGTTCTTCTTCATTTTCAATAACTTCATCATTAGCTTCATAATCAAATAATTTCTTTTTTTTTCTAAGTCTACATTTTTTGAAGATTGATTCTGTTCCAACTAAATCTGCTAAGTCATTTGATTTGATTTTGACTGATTTATAACCATTTTCTCTGTAATTTTTCAAATATTCAAGAAGACCAATAACCAATTTAGTTGAAACACATATGTCATCTATATTATGGTTCTGTAGACTTTTACTTACGATATTCGTTTCCATTAAAATATCTTACTAAATGATCAGACTTAAAATAAATTCATAACTAGAAATTTCTTTTAACAACGAAAGAGCTTCACTTCTTGCTWCCAAATCATTAGTGTCATTAGAAACTTCTTCTCGAGCATTCATTATAAATGGCAGCTGAAAACGCAATGCTTTAACGCTATTTAAACGACTCTCTCATCGAGTTTCGGACCACTGTTTTACTGTAAATTGTTTACAGTTATTTTTTAATATATCCCAACGACCAACAGAAGCAGAGAATAAAGTAAAAACGCGACGTAATATACCAAAAAAAGTGATGGCCTTTAATGAGTTTTTCGCTGCATCACAGAGAACTAGATTAAGACTATGAGCAGTACATGGTGTGAAAAAAGCCCTGGAATTTATGTTTGAAATTCGAGATTGTACTCCTTTATATTGTCCGACCATGTTAGAACCGTTGTCATAGGCTTGACCTCGACAGTCTTTAAGATCTATATTATATATTTTAGTTGTGAAATAAGTATTTCTGATAAATGCAATCCCGTTGTTGATTTTACATTAATGAAATCTAAAAAATATTCATTTATCGTTGGAGCACTTTTCGTATTTTTTTCATCCATATTTACAATTCTAATAAGAATTGTAAGTTGTTCGTTGTGACTTATATCTGGAGTTGTATCCATTATAATTGWAAAATATTTAGCTGTCTTTATTGAATTGATTATTTTTTTCTTTACTTCAGCTGCCACCATTTTTATGAGTTCATCTTGTATCTCATGCCCTAAATAATGAACATGGGTTTCTTTATTTTTAATTCGATTTACATGTTCCAGTATAACAGGATCGAACTTTGCTAACATTTCTATCATGCCGAGAAATTTTCCATTACTTTTAGTATACAGAACGTCCGACATCATTATTTGTAGCTAAAAATTGAATTATTGACAAAATTCGAATAAGTACATTTCTCCAATGATTTTGTTCTTTTTCGATTAACCGCTTGATGTTTTTTTATCGATTGTTTCATCCATTTCTATTCTAGTTTTTATTTCGAACCAAGACTTGACTGACTGAACGTGGTGTCGCGATGTTTCAAGTGAAATTAACTTATCTGACACATGTCTCCAGTCACTTATACCTACTGTTGCCAAATCACTGTGACATTTTTTATTTATAAACATTTTACAGCAAAAACAGAATACGCAATCTTTGATTGGAGAGTATACAAGCCAGACACGATCTACTTTTTCATTATTTGCTAATATTCGGTAAAAGAATTTGGGAGAACATTTTCTCTGAGATCCATCGCTTTGAACTGTAGCTGGAAAGTCAAAATTCTTTAAATGTGTAGGTCCTAACTTAACAATTTTGTATTTAACTTCTTGGCTTATATTATTAGGCCAATTTCCTGGGTCTTTCAACTCATCCGAATAATTGTAAATAGTCAACTGACCTTCTTCGTCACTTTTTAAGTTATTTTTTTCATTATTATTATTACTTTTAGGCGACTTATCTTCATCAAAATTATCTTTTTCATTTTTGGACCACTCGCCTTCCTTGTCATTTTTTAAGTTATTTTCTTCATCATTATTATTACTACTTTTAATCGACTTATCTTCATCTGAATTATATCTTTTCATTGTAATAAATCTATTAATGGAGCCACGTTGTTTATTTATTAACTCTTCAATCTTTCGTTTTTTCTGTCTTTTAGCACTACCCGATTCATACTTTCTAAACATATCTCGTTCTCGACCAGCCATAATAACCTAT